GGATCTCTTCCAGTCAGTTGGCCAGGTAGCTGTCCTCCAAATCTCTTGGCATAACTGAGTGAGTGCCTCCAATGGGACATCTGTTTGTTGAAATATCCTTTATGAATGATTTATTTTGCGGATCCTACATCAGTGGGATCACTAAGGTTAGCGTCACCCAGTGCAGTAACTCATGGTATCACTCTCCCCTCCCCCACTGCTGTGGCCCTCCTCCCATTATAAAACCACACAGAATCTGTAGTAATGTTTATTATCAATTTTAATCATAAAATAATATGTGATAAACATAATTGTAAACCTCTTAAATGTAATTTTTCTTAGATTATATGAATACTAACAAAATTGTTTTACAAAATCTTTCTGCGTTGAGTTCATCGTAATTAGTTACAACATTATTAGTAACTGAATGGAAGCCATTTTTGAATTTTCTCCTCCTTTTGCTCTAAATGCAATTTCATTCTCTAAAAAGTTATTGATACAGTTTCACAAATACTACTTACCACAATATGGTAAGTGTAATACCGGAATATTTGAAAAATCAGCAACTATAAAAACATGGGCAGAAATCAAAACAACAGCACGTGCTTGTTACATGTGCAGACAAAACCATGTGATTGGAAGAATCATTGTAATTGGATAATAATGGCAGCTCTGACCAGAGTGTATTAGAAGGTTCAAAAAGTAAATTAGCATAGGATTTTAGACTTGTTGGTGTATTGATACTTGTAAGCTGGGTTTATGAAAAATGTTTTTGTTATTATAATTAACTACAGGAATATTTTTTATACAAAGTAATAAATTTCTATTCAAACACTGCAAAAAAAATTCATAGACAGTCTGTTTGGTGTCACTCCTCGGACGGTATCACCCAGTGCATTTTACACATTCTACTGCAGTACACTGAGGCTAACCATATTTTAGTTTTCTAAGCTGTATTTCTTATTCTTTCTCACTCTGAACTGATATTTCCTAAAGATAAGCACTTCCAGAATAGATTTGGAGGAAGTGCAGCAGAAATGTTCCTTAGCCTAGAGAATGGCCAGGCTTCGTCTCACCTACTTTGTCATGTGGTCAGAAGGGGCCAGTCCCTGGAGAAGGATGTCATGCTTGGTAAAGTGCAGTGTCAGAGGAAAAAGGGGAAGACAAGATGGATTGACACAGCGGCTGCAGCAATGGACCCAAGGATTGTGAGGATTTCACAGGGCGGGGCAGTGTTTCGTTCTGTTGTACGTAGGGTCGCTATGAGTCGGAATCTATTCGACAGCACCTGTCAAGAACAACAATAACAAGCACTGAGAGTTGTTTTTCCTGCATCCCCTTGCTTATACTACCATTTGCACATGATTTCAACCATTAACCTGGAAAATCTTTTGCTCACGTATCTTTTGTACCTTGGGAATTGTGGTCTGCCATCTCTGAAATCTTTAGGACGTGATTGGTTAATCTCTTGCTAAACATATACTTCCTCTTCTGAAGTGAAGCTCAGCTACACTCCTCAATGAGTAGTCCAGGATCTGGAGGTAGAATTATTCTTGGCAAATTATTTGCAAAGATAGATGTTTGTCTCTGGACTAGTGAATCCCTAGAGAGACCTTGGCTTTAACTAGGAGAATTGCAAACAAGCCTTACCTGCATAGTCATACCTGGCTCCAACCTAGACAGTTCTCTGCCACCCACAGCCAAACTCATGACCTCATCCTTTCTCTTGAAGTACCTCCCAGTCTTCATTCTTCCTTCCAAACTCTGACACTTCACCTGCCATGGGTAAACTTGATGTTGGAAGAGCTCTTCACTGTATGCATGAAGGCCCATAGATTATTGAGATTTATTAGATTGTTTAAATTCACTGCTTTTCCTATTCAGCAGTTGAGCTGCAGCCCTGGATAAAGGTGATTTGTGTGATCCATCTTGCTTTATGTCTCACTTGACATTCTCCCTTTCTCATGACAGGTTGCTGAATGCTATAAAGCCCGGACTTGTTAAAAAGATCAATAGATTGCCTACCCCCATTGCAGGATTGGTGAGTATCCAGAATTGAGATTTATTTTCCAATATTCCTTTGCTCTAACCCAAGGGTCATGATGGGGCCGTTTATTACAGTTTTCTCCTGCAATGTATATTTCACTTGAATGAGAACTCATTGAATCCATTAAACTAAGAGATCACTTAAAAATGAAAGATCGCAGTGATGCCTAAATGGCAGCTTAATCTTTGTTTGCATTTTTTCCCATGAGTGATAAGAACCTTCATTCTAAAGAGGTAAATTTGTTTTCGGGTGAGAGGCTGATAATTAAGTTGTCCCCAGGGGAGGAATGTGATTGTAATTATGGTTTTCTTATTTCTGTTTTTAACTGCATTCCCCTAGAATGGAGGGGAGGAGGAGGTAGGAGAAAGAGAATTTCATGATTAACAAACAGCACTTTCATATGAATTGCTGTTTTCAATCTGAAAAATCTGCTTTGTGTTTAATTACCACATCTGTAGACCAACTATTGGAAAGATATAATGAAATATACTATACAACAAAACAGAAACCTGTTCAACGGTTTTTACATATGCATTTTAGTGACACGTTACGAAGGTGATCTTAACATTGCCCAGAGAATGCTTAAGGAAGACTGTTCCTTCTGAACCTACCAGGACTTTGAACCAGTTTGAAGCACTTCAATTGTAGTGATGAAGTAAAGCCAGAACAGACCTCAACTTTTACAATTTAGGTGATCCAGAGCACTAACTAGAAAGGGAAACGTTATGAGTTGGAGCCCTGGGATGAGAGACTCAGAAAAGTCATAGTGAGCCCTTTCAGGACACACACATTAGGATCCTGATGCTTGACATTGGATTATTTGCTGGGACTGTTGAAAGCAGTGGTGCAGTAGGCCACCATCTTTGAGCCAGGCACCACTGTATTGGACTCAGCCAGACAAGAGATTTGGTTGCTATGCAACACACATGCCGTCCTTGTTTTCTAAGAGGAGGATTAAATTTCTAGCAGGGCTTTGATCCATGATTTTTCCCATTCCAGTTAGTATTGTGGTTCACCCAATTTTAGAATTTTGCATCCATTCCTGTGTCGCTTTATCGGCCATGACTGAACCAGGCTGACCTGGTTGGAAGCCCTGAAACCTACCCATGTAAAACAGATAAAACTCCTGTGGTCAGAAGCAGGATTTTTTTTTCCCCACACACATTACTGTATTTCATAATTCTTGGCAGTTTAATTTAATTGGTGCTGCCTTTTGTGTAAAGAAAGGGAAAAGATTGACAATCAGGAAGTCAAACTAATTTTTAGTTCTGGAAGGAACTTGGTGCACACACACACAGAGCTTAGGATGTTGGCCTGGTAATGACTGACTGTTTCCGTTGTAACCGCCTTTTGTCCATGTGGTTTTGCAGAAAACAATTAGAAAAATGTCAGGAATTTAGGCAGGATTCTGCATAGACCTTACTGATTGTTGTTAAACAGCTTCTTAGCCACATCACAATGGCTAATTGAAATTAGATGTGACAAAAATTCAATTGTGTTTAGAACTGTGGGGGTCATGGTGATAAGGTACATGATTTCAGCAAGTTGAAATGAGATGGATGTTTTCTCTGTTTTAAGAATTGCTGTTCCTGTGGGTGCATTTTATTTCCCACACTGGTTAGTAGTGACTTGGCAGAGTGGTCAACTCCAATTTTATTTGTCATAGTCAAATAGCCAGGAAAGCAAAATAAATAAGCAAATTTGGAAGGAATGGATTTGAGTAATTTACAACTGAAAAATCAATTACTGTATGTCTATTATCTATATTAAAGTATACATATATTAAGTATTTATTTGAAAACTTTATTAAAACCATTTATTTCCAGTGTCAACGGCATGGTCTTAATGGTCACCAAGGCTGTGTCATGGCCTGGCTTTGGAGATCAGGGGTTTGATGATCTAGGAGTGGCCCTTGTAGCATGAAGTGAAGGAAAACCAAAAAACCCAAACTCACTGCCCTTGAGTAGGATGTGACGCATAGTGACCCCTCCTTGGGTTTCTGAGGCAATGCCACTAGGGAAGTAGATTGCTCAATCTTCCTTCTGAGAGGAGTGGCTGGTGGGTTTGAACTGTCAGCCTTCTGGTTAGCAGTCATATGCCTTAGGCACTACGGCAAGGCCCCTGTGAAATTCACACGAACACAAGAAAGCAACTCTGAATCCAGCAGCTGAGGAAAAAAGGGTTTTGAAACCTCCATTTAAAATGTGGATCATAAATCATGTTAGCCAAATGAGAGCTGGGGACACTTGCATTTATTTTTATGTTATTTCTCATTGCAGGTCAATTGTTGTCTTTATGTATTACCTCAGATTTGGGAGCAGGCAGGTGATTTGATGCAAGACAATAAAGGGCCTCCTTTGCTTTCCTTCCATCTGTGTTCTTGACTTCTCTTCCTCCTTTTTGTACTTGAATTTCTTTGCCACTTTTTTCTTTTTATCCTTTCTTCCTTTGTTCTTGCTGTTTTGCAACTAAGACTTTCCCACTTACTCTCATCCTATATCATGTATCTTCTTTGTTTTTTAATGCATTTTATTGAAATATAATTTATGTACAATGAAACACACAAAACTAAAGTGACATGGGTCAATGCAATTTTTTTTTTCAGTGTTCCTGCCCCTCCCCTCCCACCCCTGGCAACTAACAAAGAAAGTTTCCTTGCACACATAAACCTTTCCTTGACCCTCCACAACAACAAACTAATAACTGTATTTGTCCTTCTGTGATTGACTTATTTCAATCAGCATAATGTCCTCCAAGTTCATCCATATTATGCTATGTTTTGCAGACTCTATATTATTCTTTAGTTCTGCATAGCATTCCATTATGTGTATGTACCATAGTTTGGTCATCCACTCTTCCGCTATAAATCTTAGAGATAAGTCCCTTGCCAGATATGTAATTATCAGCAAATATGAATTTGTTGCTGTCATTTTTGTTATGTGCTTTTTCTTGCTGTCGATTTCTTTGTTCCATATAATTTTTTATGCTGAGCTCGTTTTGTTTATGAATCACGTTATCACTTCCTTCATTGCTACTGTTTTAGTATTTGCTGAATATTTATGCTGGTCCTCTTTTTTGATGTGAAGGTTTATCATTTTTCTTTGAGGTTACCCTGTGATTAATAGTTTTCTTCCCAAGTTTAGAGCAGTCCATTCTATCTTGTAGTTGTCTTGACTTCCCTACCATCTAGAAGTTCTGTAATGACACAGTTTTTTCTTTCTTTTTGGTTTGTAGTTGTCCTCATTTGTCAATTGATCTCTGGTTCCCTGTTTACAATCTTGTAGGCTTATTTACTTTGGATACTTCCATAGGGTTGGTTTCTGGGTTATATCATCACGTGTGTTAATGGTCACTTGTTGTTGGCTGTTGTTGCTTCTCTGACCAAAGGGCTTCCTTTAACATCTCTTGAAATGTTGGTCTGGTTTTAACTAATTCCCTTAATTTCTGCTTATCTGGGAATGTCCTAATTTCACCATCATATTTGAGGAACAATTTTTCTGGGTACCTAATTCTTGGTTGGAAATTTTTCTCTTTCAGGGTTTTATATATACCATCCCTTTGTCTTCTCACCTGCATGGTTTCTGTCGAGAAATCTGAGCTTAGTCTTATTGGTTGCCCCCTTGTAGGTAACTTTCGTTTTTCCCATGCTGCTCTCATGATTCTTTCTTTGTCTTTGGTTTTGGTAAGTTTGCTGATGAAATGTCTGGGTGATTTTCTTTTGGGGTCTTTCCTATTTGGGGTTCATTGGACTTCCTGAATGGATATATTCTCATCTTTCATCATACCAGGAAAATTCTCGTCCAACAAATCTTCAACAATTTTCTCTGTGGTTTTATTTGTCTCTTTCTGTTCTGGAATTCTAATGACATGTAGGTTATTCCTTTTGATGGTATCCCACATGAACCTTAGGCTTTCTTTATTTTATCTTGATCTTTTTTCTGATTTATGTCTTTCCCAAGAAGTATTCAGTTATTTGCCTTCAATCTCACTAATTCTGTCTTCCATTGATTCAATTCTGCTCTTTTGCCCACTCAATGTCATATCTATTTCTGAAAAGTTAGTATTAATCTGGATTTCTGTGTGTAGATTTTGTATCATTTTTAATTTTTCCTTTATTTTGTCATTTTGCTCTTGTATTGTCTTTTGAAATTGTTCTAGGGTTTTCTCTGTGTTTTCCTTGATTTGTCTCTCAATTCATTGAAGATACCTAAACATAATTCTTTTTAATTCCTTATTATGGAGTTCCAATGCTGCGTCTTCCTCAGGGATGTGTTTTGGGTCTGTATCCTGGTCTCTTGTTTCTCCTGTTTTATCTTGCTTCTTTGTGTGGACTGTGATGCTCTGTTGTCTCTAAGGCATTGTGACATTTTTGTGTTTATATTTAATTGGTGATTATATGTTGGAGTGACTTACCCATGGTTTTTGTTTTCTTTGTATGTTATCTATGCAAGCAGGTTACTGTGCTATGCTCCTCTATTCCCTAGTTGACAGCACTTATACACTCACCACCTGTCTCCTTTCATGTTGTCAGCATCTTGTATGCCCCTGCCGACCTTGGCAAACAGAGCCCGTTCTAAAGTCCCTGAAATCCAAACGAGAATGCTGGCACTTTAAAATCCAAAATGGTTGCCACTTGTAAGCATTCAAAACGGCTGTGCTGTTGGTCACTTTAAATATCCAAAATGGCCACCACTTGTAAACATTCAAAATGGCTGTGCTGTCGGTCACTTTAAATATCCAAAATGGCCACCACTTGTAAACATTCAAAATGGCTGCACCCTCAGTCACTTTAAATATCCAAAATGGCTGCCATGTGTAAATAATGAAAATGGCTGCACCCTCTGGACAGCAGAAAGTCAACAGCTCAGGTTGTCTCCCTCTTTGCTGTTTCCCTTCCTAGTCATAAGCCACCAGCATAGTCATCCCTGCAGCCCTTGGTGACCAGGGCTGATCTTTAAGTCAATTCTCAGGTCCCAACACCACTTGGAAATATT